AAAGAAGAAAAGTTCTCTGTGGTACCGAGCTTCACTGAGGGGGAGCAGTGATCGGCACCGTCACAGCACTGGCTCACAGCCCAGAGTTTGCAAGGTGAGACAATATGTCAAGTGCAATACACGTATGTGTGTTTATAATTTCACATCAGTAAATACTCAGACTTCTGCTGTCTAAATCAAATAACCGAAAAACTGATTTGCGAGACGTGAGATTACAGCTGAGATTTAAGCTGCAATGTGATATAATTTCACCAATTTACAAGAAATAAACAAAGCAGCTCTCTGCAACTCACCAATTTTTAAATCTCTATTGTTTTTTTTTTTTTTTTAAACAACGCTTTTATACTTTCTAGGAAGGGTTAAAAGTTTAAAAAGTGCCCTTTGTTGTCTTTAAAGAGGAACTCTGCATCTCTCTGTTTGCAGTCCAAGCCGGCTTACTCCAACTCACTGGTTGATTACACAGACCCACAACGGTAAATATATCAGAATTGATGTGCAACTTTTCATCTTTTTTCCTTTTATACGTGTAAAAAAAACCAACTGTCTACAGGACTTTTTGTACATGAACAGTTTATTACATTTCTTAAAAATTGATATTAATTATCAGTCGTTTGCTTTTTCTGCTTTTGCACAGAACCACGATTATTTTGGAAAAGCAAGACAATGAAACATTTGGTTTTGAAATTCAGGTAAGCAAACACTGAAGCATGCTTAAGTTTTGCTTTGGGTGCCTTGAAAAGTGCTATATAAATCCAATCCATTATTATTATTATTAAGTTGTGTGGAAAAAAAAAGGGTTGCTTTTGGCTCGCTTTTTTGTGACATGTTTGTCTCTCTTTGCAGACTTACGGGCTGCAGCTGAAAAACAGCCCTGCAGTGGAGATGTGCACGTTTGTTTGCAAGGTGAACGAGGACAGTGTTGCTGAGAGTGCTGGCCTGACCGCAGGTGAGCCGCCCACATCCTTTCTACCGTATAGGCCCCACTGAGACATTGATGTTACCGTTTGGGCTGCGTGACGATTGACAGATATATATCGCTTACCACATATGTGAATACCTACATGCCTTCACACCTACGCCTGCAATCTCACGCACTGATGTGCACATGCAGTTTACAGCTATGTTGTGTAATCATAACCGATTCGTTCCTTATATTTCGGCATCCTTATCTTTGACAGGCGATATAATTGTCACGGTCAATGGCGTCAGCATTGAAGGCTCATCTCACCAGTGCGTGCTTGATCTGATAAGAAAATCCACCAACTGTCTAAAGTGAGTGACAACATTTATAACTTCCTAAATACTGCTAGAAAAAAAAAGCACAACAGATGATAACTAAAAAGTCACTATAACAATAGTTTACAATAGCATTATAACAGAGTGTAATTATGTGTTATATATTATTCCAGACTAGAGACTGTTTGTGGGAATATAGTGAAGCAGATAGAGTTGGAGAAGAAGATGGACGCCCTCAAGGTGAGTCTCTTAAATCCTGTCTGTGTTTGATGGTGACACCATTTAGCTGTGTGTTGTAGGCAAAGAAAAAAAAAGAGCAGTCACCAAGCCATGCAGTAGTGAAGCCTCAAACGCCCCCAGCAATACTTTCTAACCTGCAGCTGCACAGCTGAATTACTCAGGCTATACTCTGCATGGACATTGTGTGCAAATATCTTTGTAGGCAAATGTTCTCAGCGAATTAGTTAAGAGTTTTACTGGAAGCATAAGTGTAATGTTTTTGTTGTCTTTTTTGCCCATACAGCAATCACTACGTGAGAAATTGGTGGAGCTGCAGAGGCTTAATATACAGGAAAAGCGTCTAATGCGAGGTGAGAAGTATGCTCAGCTGTCAGACCACAGCACTTCCTTTCTCACAGCCATTAACATTTCTCTGAAGCATGTGCCATCAATGATGTGAATTGATGTGTAAACTCCAGATAATTCAAATGGCCTTCCCCTGACAGATAAACATACAGCGGAAGTTGCTGATGAGCTTCCTGATACAAATTTCCTGTCAGCTAACTGGGATTTTGTTGTGCTTTCAGGTAATTTAAACGACAGCAGTCTCGACCTCCTGATAGACTCCACAGCTATTTTGAGCTCCCCCATCAGGCGCTTGGGCCGGCGTTTTTCCAGTGACAGCAGCTACAGGAGTGTGATGACAGATGATAGTGACCAAGCCAGTGTGTTTGGGGACGTGAGCTCACCCTGTCCCAGCAGTGCAGCCAGCACCACAGATGATAACTGCTTCTTCTCCAGAGACTTTCCTTCGCAAGACAGCTCTTCAGCTCACACATCGAGCTCCAGCAACCACCACCAACCTCTTGGCCGCTCCAGCAGCTCCAGTTTGGCCGGCAGCACCAGCTCTCTGTCTCCGTCCTGGGAGGAAACAAGGATCTCGTCCTTGTTTGGAACCCTGCCCAGAAGAGGCAGGAGAACCAGTGTCCGCAAACACATTCTCAAGTTAATTCCTGGACTTCAGCGATCAGTTGAAGAGGAGGAGATGGGAACAAACACTCAGTGATTCGCTTTCCAAATGCTCCTTGTGTCTATTCAATATTAAGTGTTGGTAAACAGGGTCTGTCAAGTTCCTAACACATTACAAATAGAAACAGACAATGCAATCAAGTGTTTCGCCACACTTAAAAGCCTGGGTTAACCCTTCATGGGAATGCAAACAAGTTGGACACTTTTATACTGTATGCATTTGCCAATGTCAAAGTTACCCCTATAGTTCCTGCCTGGCTCGCTTGCTCGGCTTTAACTTGTGGCACAAAAGCATTACAAAAACAAATGTGGGCTGAATGAATGTAAACTGAACAGATTGTAAAGTGTGACAGATGAAATTATATATCCTACTTACTTGAATTCATTTTTTTGTCATATTCACAGATTGTGATGAGCATTAATCGATTTAAATCGCAGCAACTGTATCAATGTAGCCAACTTCAAAATTTAAAACAAACATGTAGCCTAAAGCACATGAGAAGACATAAATCACTCATGACATATTCAGGTGCTCAAAACCAAAACCAAGCCTCTACACCCTATAGATAGCTACTCAGCTCAAAAACAGGATGTGGGTATGAGAGTACTACTTAAGTGCTTTCATTTCCAAATTGTTTTTTCCGACTGTGTATAAGTTTCTTTCAGTATTCAGAAACACTGAAAGTAACAATTTCTTGTAAATTGTTGAAATTGCTGTAAAAATGTATCAATTATTTTCTGTGGCAAGAGTGTCATTAATGTCGATGATCCACAGTCTTTTTTCTTTTGTAAATAAAATCATGATGTACAGAAAATTCTTTAAGAACAATAAACTTTTAAAGATGTTTCCAGTCACCGGTGATTCCTTTAACTTTTCATGTAGTGATGCAGTCTCAATGTTGGTGAAGATGCAACTTTGGAGTGAGCCACACTCACTGAAAATCACTGGTGAAGATGCAGGTAGTGAAAAAAAACTTACTGTGTCATTAAAGGATGAATTAATTGAAGAAATGCATAGGGAATTCATCTATATCCTGTAAAATAACTACTTCTGTTGTTTCAGTTTGCTGCTACAGAAAGAGGGCTTGTACTACAACTGATGGATAAATTGGAAAGGGTTGTTACCTTCACAAAGAAAGCAAGTTACCCCCGATACAATGTATCGCATTATTACAGCAGCTTCAAGGCCAGATGAAGCCCGTTTCCTAGATAATCCATAACAATTAAGTTGTGTTGAAGTGTTGAAGTTGTATATGGTGAGAGAGATTTGGTGAATGAGATTACAAATCTGTTTGAAAAACAAAATAAACTTACGAGAGAGAGAGAGAGCAAACTTTAGGAATGATGAAATGAACAAAATAGTTCACTGGGCAACTCGGCAACAACAAAAATCTTGAAGAAAATGGAAAACAACACGATAAGAAAACCTCCTTCCCAACTTCTAACCATGTCAGAAACACACTTATGGAGCCAGACACATCATTGTCATAGTCAACTTGTACCAGAACAATGGAAAGAGAAAAATGTGGAGAAGGAAAGGAGCAGCTCAAAATCTGAAGTAAACCACACCATCTGTCAAACATGGTGGAGTAACAGGAAGTGTGTATACAGGGCCATACCCTACTCAGTCAAATGCTGCAAAAACTGATGGGATGGATAAAGATGGATATTAATAGATAATGACCAAAAGCATACTGGAAAATCAACCCAAGGCAAACGAAAAGGGTCTTTACAATGAGCAAGAAATTAGTGATCAAGTATAAAACTAATTGCTAAAGAGTCAACACAATACTTTTGTTACACCCGCTGAATTAAAGTTAAAAGTCTGCACTTCAGTCATATCTTAAATGTTTGATTTAAAATCCACTGTAGTGTAGTAAAGACAAAAACTGTGCTATTGCTCAAATATTTCTGACCTGAAGACGCAAGATCACTTTCAGCTTTAAATCTAGTACAGACATAATCACTCTTTATACTATTAACAGTCTGGCCTAAAAAGAGCTACCTGCTATTGGTCAAAGTTTCCTATCATAGAAAAGCCACAGAGCAGATAAGGTGCAAGTGCCTAGTTCCTTTTTGTAGTCCACTTGAATTGCAGTATGTTATAGCAAATACATTAAAAAATGAATGGAATCTCCACTTCTATGAGGAATGAATCAGTGGTGATTTTACTGTATGTTTCGTTAGCAATTTAGTTGTTCTAGAACCTTGAAGTCTTTATGTTCTTAAGCTGTTTCAGGGTGTACAAACTTTGTTGGTTCGGACTGAAAGTAGTGCATTGAAAACAGAATAACCAGAATGTTAATCTTGACTCAAAACATTGCAGAATGAAGGTGGTCACCGAGTACAGATTTAAATACGAGTACAATCGTAGGTCCCAGAACCACAATGAACCTTTGTTTGGACTACAGCAAAGCCTCTGTTCTTTGGTGATTCAACACAAACAGAGATTTACATGGTACTAGCGGTACAGAGCCCACCACAGAGCCCGAGCTTGCATCGCTCATTGAAAAGCACAATGGATACTTTCTCAGTTGACTGACAAAGCAAAACAGGAGCAACACATTCGGACCAGCGGAGAAGGTAATGTGACAATACTTGTTTAAGTTGGGATTTAAGAGAAAGTGAATCAGAACTGATTTGCCATTTTCAACACTACTCAAGAACCAAAAGACAGATGGAGATGAGTGCAATCCCTCCAAATACCCCAAAACGCAGTGCAGAAGAGGAAGAAGATGCACTGGCACCTCAGGTACTGGAGATTCTCAGTGGGATCAGCATTGAAGCCTTTAAGACTCTGAAGGAACCTGAAGATAGAGATGTGTGGACCCTGGAAGAGGGAGATGACTCCGTGTTTTACAGTAATGAGGAGCAAGCTCAGCTGAACATCGTTACTGCATCAACCGGCATCAAGTGCCGACATCTTGCAAACACTGTGGCAGATGAACCTAGCCAGCAGAAAGAGGTAAAGGCAGGGGAAGAACATGAAGCCAATATTGCCAAAGAAAATTTAAACATGGGAATGGAAATGACCCATCAGATCACTTGGACCCAAGAAGAACCCCAAAAGTTTCATACAGCCAAAGCTAAACTAATGTTTGCATTAGACTCTGGGGAACAAGGTGCTGATTCTGAACAGACTCCAGGAGAGTTTATGAGAATGTGTAAGGAGTTTTTGCAGCCACACTGGACAACTGTAGAAATGCAAGCTCACCCTGAACAAAATGCATCAGCGGAAGAAGGTAAGAGGAATTTCATATAACTTTGCATTGAAATAAAAGTGGTATTTGTTTATAGACTGTAAAAGAAAAGATTTTTTCTTTCGTTTTCTCTTTAGCAAATCGGCAAATCAAAGAGGAAGAAGTGGAACTAGAAACTCACACACCAGCCCTAAGCTTTGATGTACCTAATGAGGGTGGTTATGCAAGGCTGAACAGGGAGGCAAACTACCCAGACCAGCTGTTTGGTCCCAGTTGGCTTCAAGTGGATCAGAAAGCTGAGCTGGGTCCAAACTTTAATGTCCATGCTGGTCTTTATCAAAACCCCCACCCGGGTTACTCCAGCCTGCCTTTGGTAAAGAAATCTGGCTGCAGTGAGAGCCACCAGCATTCATTTAACCATCTCACATCTACCAAGTACAGCACCGTGTCCTATCGCAGGATCCGCAGAGGCAACACCCGTCAGAAGATAGATGAGTTTGAGTACATGACAATTAATCACTAAGAATCTGGTTTCAATGTCCATCTAATGAAACCATAACAAAACAAATGCAACATGTGTGCTTTACAGTTTACACAGAAATAGCCAATGTAGCAACCCATTATGTGCAAACCTTACATGCATACATAACAGTCACGGTTAAGGTACTTGGCTCAATAGAGCGAAAACATCTCATATTTGTAAAGAAAACAGTTGATTTATGTTGTTACTATTGGCTATTAAGATTTTTGGTATGAGAAATCCGGCGTTAAAAGTTTTAAATTCCTCAGAAGTAACCTCAGTAAATAACTATTAAAAAGAAATTCAAATGGCAGATGGAGGGAAATAACAAAATATATACTGTTGCACATTCATCAACTTGTTATTATTTTCACCTACTTTCACCAAAAATGCATTTTCATTCATGTCTTTTTCTTGAAATGTTTGTGATCATGTAATAAACTCATGAAATCAGAGCACAGGTTTATTGAGTGTTTTGAAGCAACACTTCCCTCTAGTGACAAAAACAAAATCATCAAGTTTTCACAGCAAAACCGGCACATAAAAACCCCACAAAAGCAGCTTTTTTCCCCAAATGACCACTCAAAGCACACATCTCATCTCGAGATATTTAAAGAAAAAAGTTTTTTACACAAACAGCTTCATGCAATTTAACTCATTATTTAGTCCCAGCAATGATGAATCTATAAGGCACTGTTTAACCTTCGATCTTTGTAAATGTTTTACTAAAGAACTGAAGTGTTAAACAAAGATGTCCATCTGAATCTCACTTTTTCCCCAGGTGATAGTAATTTAAAAAATATATATATCCTCCTCTACACTAAGTCCCAGTCCTTTGGCACACAATCCCACATCAGTCACTTAAAAAAAAGAAAAAAAAAAGAAAAGAAATCATGCTTATTAATGCCTCCAAAACGCTTCTTTTGTACCCTGGAAAGTCCTGATTTGAGGCTGGACCACGGACCGTGCTGTAGCATGAGGCCACTGAAGGTTTTTTGTAGTGCATTTTTATCACATAAAACTCATTTCAATCTCATCCACTACACAAGGTAGTTCGTGAACTGCCACTTCTGGAAGATACTGCTGGGTTCACAAGGGTTGAGACGAAGGTCGTCACTCCCAGGTCCTGCTTCCAGGCACATATGGTTGGAAACAAACTCTGCTATGAGGTGCTCCGCCTTAAAGACAAAAAAAAAGGGTGGAAGGGAAATGAATGCAACTCTTGCATCTAAACACTCCTTACGTGGATTTAAAGGAGGCCAGCTCTGTGGTTTGAACTAAAGACGAAACAAAGATATTGTACAAAGCAAATGGCAAACCCTAAGTCAACCTACTAGAGCAGAGTTGGAGGATTTGTGGAACCAGCGGAGCTCAGGCTTGGTGCCGTCACATGACCGTAAAGCAAACCTATTGCCGCTGCCTTGGGCAGCAACACACAGGCTCTGCTGCTGAATGTGTTTCATCCAGGTGTAATTAAAGTGCTGACCCTGAAAATGAGAGAAAAGGAGAGAGAGTGACCAGGAGGTAAATATGCTGCATGTCAAACAATATAAGATTTTGAAAGACGCCTCAGTGGTGCTGACTTGAATCCAAAGAGGCCACATTTAGAAAAACTTGGTCTCGTCTTGGACTCCACACTTGTTTATAGTGGCTTGGGTCCTTTCTCAGACTTTGACTGCATTTGTCTTGGTTATTTCTGGGTATTTTTGTTATTCCCCCACCATAATTACCACAGTCGTGACCACCAAACATGCAAATCATCCACATTTTTTGCCTGTGTAAAGACTAAGAAAAATACATACAAAAAGCCCTACTATAGAGCATTTGGTGATATTTACATTTAAATAATCTGTTAAACACCTACCTGCTTGCTGAGATCACACGTCTCAAAGCACAAAGAGCCGTTATGCAAAGCAAGGCATTTTCTTAAGCCACGATTGAAGACCTAAAAAAAAGAAAGCATTTTAAGAGAAGTGAAACCACAGTAAACACAGGATTTATTTACTGATTTACAAGAACACAAGAAAATAGTCAGTTTATATTCCAATCAGACAGAATGCTGACACTGGGTTAAATTAACAGATAGAGTACATACCAGGCCTTCAGCTTTCACTAAAGGAGCAACCATGTCCGGATAAACATTATCCAGGTACCACTTGAAGCTTTTGCATTTCAGCTTCTTCCTTAGCTCAATCTGCTCTGTGAGGTTGCCAATATCAATGCGCTTTTGATCCAGCAGGTGGTGGTATCCATGGCCATAGAAAAGATCTTTGTACTCATCTAGCCACACTTCAGCCACCCTCGCCAGGTTACGCTCCACTGTCTTCTGCCGGTCTTTGGGAAATTTATACGGATTCTGCCCGCGGAAAATGTGTCCCACACGAGAGCAGGGGATAATCTCGATTTCTCCGCCGCACATCCAGATCTGTTCAAACGGCAACAGGTACAGCACATCATCAGCCATGTGACAAACACAAACTTGAAGGATGTTTCCAAACAGCTGTGACCAATATTCCCAGTAAATTAGCTGAGTGACAAACCTTAAATGAAATCTCCATGTTCTCCCCACCCCACACATCCAGACCGGGATCATAGGTACCAAGTTCGAAGAAGTATTGTTTGTCAATTGAGAAAAGGCCCCCAGCCATAACTGGGCATCTACAGGACAGAAAGCAAACAAAAGAGATTACTAAAAAAAAGCCACTAGAGCTATAAAAAAACAACAACAAAAAAACAAAACAAAACATAAATTTTACCTGATAGGATCAGAGATGGTCAAATTAAATTTCTTTATATCCTCTGGTGGTACTGCACTCCAACCAAACACCAAAGGCCATTTGAAAATACCCCTTTGGAAGTTGTCCACCATCATATAACTGAGGATGAAAAGCCACAACACAATTTATTTTTTGCCCGTTACTATACCAAAACACATACCTGATTAATTAAATATGGTATTATCCACTTACCTCATGTCCTTATCACTGATAACTTCAATAACTGGACAGGGTACTTTCTTTCGATCCAGATAGACTCTCTCTAAGAGCGGCTCCAGCCACCCCACATTGCATTCAATATGGGAGTCAAGAAAGGTAAGAACCTCACCTGCATCAAAGGAAAGCAGTTAAACTGCAGTTAAACATTTTAAGAACACAACCCTACAACGCACACAACCCTCATGAGACACTTTTGTCAATGCATGTATAGAACATTTGCAGTTACATCAATAATAATAATAGTATTACTGCATAATACAGTTCTAATCTGAAAGGTGTAAAAACAGGGACATACATCTGACCATGCACGCTGGTGTCAGAAGAGTAACGCTGCATTATGGATTATATGTTGCTGGTCCTGAGACCTGATCCACCACCCTTGGCCTTGAGGACTGCAAGCTCTTCCATTTATAAGTATTGTTTGGTTTCTTGAGTCATAGCTAGAGACCCAGCTCCTTTTACAGTAATGGTCCTCAACAAGAACATTTGGTCAACAGAGCAGCAGGCAAAAGGTGGCAGCCATGAAGGGTTCAGGTAAGATTTTTGTGCTTTGTGAAGTCAAACATTTTTTACAGCACCTCAAACATTAAATCAAAACATAGTTCAAATTAAATAATAGAATACTTCACAACAAGGCTGTCACATGAATGTAGTTCAATTAACTATATTAGCCTGCTGACATTATTTATGACCCTTGCTCATTAGTTTACCTGAGCACACAATTTGACATATTCTATTGCTGTCTTTATCTTTCTTTTTTGGGGGCCGTATCCTCTAACCCATATCTATACCACATTTATAGACTCATAAAGTATAAGAGACACCCTTATATGAGATCAGTCTTGACCATACATACCTTTGGCAACAGCAGCTCCAGCTAGCCTAGCTCTGATCAAGCCCTGGCGCTCCTTGAGACGAACGATTCGCACTTTGGGAAACTGGGCCATGTAATCATCCAGCTGCTTTTTAAGATAGTCTGCCAGAGTAAAAGCTCTTGGTAAAGCTACTTCATGCATGCAAGTTACACTGACAGCAGAGAACAATTAAAAATGACAATCTGAAAGCCAATAAAATTCTGATCATTTATATTGTTGCTAAGCTTGCATAGATTATACAGTAATTAAAAAAAAATAAAATAAAAATCAATCATCCAATCAATCACTTAAGTAATAGTAGGTACCTGTAAAAGAAATCAATGGTTTAATTGTAAAACCAATATGCAGCTGTCACATATTTTAACACTTCTGGCTGATCAATAATGATCTAATGGTGTTGCTAACAATCTATATAGTACATTGCATTTGAGCATACAATGAAAAAGATATTTGAATAGCCAACATTTATTAACGAATTTTTAATCAACCCAACTGAGATACCCCATGAAGACGAGGCCAAGCTATGATGAATTCCAGACACTGTTACCTTTTGTGCTGAAGTCATCCACCAGAATAATCTCTTTAAGGAGGTGGGGTGGAGATCTGTTGAGCACACTGTGCACGGAGCGGAGGAGCGTTGACCACACTTCATCCACGAAGCAGAAGATGACGCTGGTGGAAGGTAAGTCATCGTGGACCAGACTCTGTTCACACCTGGAAAACACAGCAAAAATTAACATTCAAGCTTTGCAAGTGGTGGCAGCTTCAGAGATGACGTGCAGAAGACTCACATCTGCGGCCTGGTGTCTGGAATGGCACGGTCCACTGGAATCTTGTCACTGAGGTAGACGTTAAAATGGCCTTCGTCCCATCTCTTCTTCACCTCTGCATCCTCTTTCCAGCCAACGACAGCTGGCTGACCAAACTGGCCTACTGCGTTAGCATCTCTAGGACTGGAAGTCAAATCCAGAGAAAGCACTTTGTGGACACCTGATTTTCTAACAGCAGAGTTATTCTTGGAGTCGACTCCTCCTTGGAGAACGACTAAAGGCTTCACAGGTTCCTTTTTTTCATTCACAGGACTTTTAACAGTCTCGCTGACCTGCTCCCTCTCTTTTGTATCTTCGTTCTCTAGTCTTTTTACATCCTTGTTGGGAGGTTGTTTGGGTGTTGTTTTAACTGGGTGTGCCTCCTCAGCCTCAAGCTGCTTTTTAACTGCTTTATTTGCCTTATCCGTCTTGTCCCGGTGACTTTGTGCAACTTCAACAGGCTCCTCCTTTAAGGCAAGTTTATTTTTCTGGGTTACATTTGCCACTGCTACATTTAGATCAAAATGTACAGGTTTCTTCTTCCTATGAACTTCCTGATTTGGAGTAAAATTGTGCAGGGAAGCTCCATTATCACGTTTGGGAACATTGTCTCCTTGACTTTTAATAAAGTTCCCCTTTTGATATCGTTCTTTGCCTCCATGTCTGTAAACCTGGTCAAGTTTGACACCTGAAGGGAGTGGTCCTTTCCCCGCCTGTGTCCAGTCCATCCTCTGCACTGGGTGTTTAAACCCCCTTCTAGTGTGCTGCGTGGCCT